CTTGCTCCATCCCTGGGAGTAGGTGTCAGCAGCCCAGAGTGTGAGAGTGTTTCCTGAGATTTCCTGGTCTGCTCTTAGGCACGCAGCATAGGGCACTGGGCCTCAGAGGAGGTCCCTCTACACCAGTCGAGAGCAGTTAGTAGGGACTCATGGGAAAGATTTAGCACAGGGCGCAGACTTCCTTCACTCTGGGGCTCCCAGGGCCTCCTCTCTCCCCGCCTCCCCACCAATTGGCCTTTAAAAATGTGTTAAAAGTTCAGCTTCTTTGCTTTTACCTGTTTCTCTAGTAGCTCCCTCTTCCTTTGCCAGTTCTGCCAAAGACGAGATTAGTTGTGTGTCCCATTTTCCCGGAGAGGGGCTTCCAGGTTTCTGATTTTAGTGCATTTGTTTACTTGGTGACATCGGTGCTGTGGTGATGGGCGGAAAATAACCGAGGTGCTGTGGGTTTTCCAGCTCACCCTTTCCACAGCGAGGGAGACTTTCCCTGGTGAATTTCTACATCTCCAAGGGAAGCAGACCTCCCTCAGTCACTCTGTCATCTCTCCTGTCATGGCCCCGTCATTTTGTCAGTCTCTGCTACATACTCAGCTGCTTTCTCAAGATAAACAAAACTAATTTTCAAGTCAACGGACTTACCACACCATTTGCTCATTATACATTTATTTACTTATTGAGGTGACCATTTGTATTATTTTTAATTGTCTTTATTTACAGAAAAAAGAAACTTTTCATATCTCTGTAATGGGAGACGTGCTTTGCAACCTGGAGAGAGGCAGCCTGCAGCTGCAGCTGGGCCCCCAGGCGCCCAAGGGCCTGGCGAGCAAAGGGCCCTGCTTCCCCGACAGGTGCGTTGCAAAGAGGCGGTTCCCAGGTACCGGAGGAAGGCAGCCTTAGCTGTAAAGCTGGTAAGAGGTTTATTTAGCTTTTAAAAAAGATTGACATACATTTCAAAGAGATAATGAAAGAACTTAGACATTTTCTTAAGTAAGTACTCTAAGGAAGGGGAAGAGGAGTTGTTTTCCTTATTTTTGATGGAGAATTGAGCCTCTTATTTTAAATTTTTATCTACCCTTACACTACCTAAATGTTAAAATTATGTTTTACAACAAATTTATAGCCAACTTCTGGTGAGTACCAAAGAAATATAGGGAAAGAAGTGTACTTTTTATCTTAATAGTATAGGGAAACATTAGTTATAAGGTAGAACAAAAAACCATATGCTATATGTATGATTTAAAATGCTGATTTAAAAGTCATCTGTTTGCCTAAATTGCTTCACAGTGGAGTTTTTTCATTCAACTGAAAGGATTATATTTAAAGTAAAATGAAAAAGGAGTTATGTATACTTCTGAAGACATTTGAACCTAGCATCTATCAGCATTACCTACATTCTTGTCAAAATACATATTTTAAGATCAAGGGTAGTTCATCCAATTCTTAGTTATGAACTTGTCCACTAAAAACAATAAAGGTTGCTGGAAAGAAATGGGCTCTTTTTAAGAAATCGTCTTACAAACAAACAAGGAGTCAGATAGGCATGGAGAACTCTAAGGCCCAAAATTCAAATAAAATCATCTCAGCAGAAATAGAAACACTATATCTGTTTGTGCTTTGGGGGCATTTGTGGACAAAGTTTCCCAGGGCTCTGATTGGAAAGCATCCCACAACAGGCGAGACGGAAGTGACGGCCCAGGACCCGCGCGGTCAGCAGTCCTGCAGGATTCTCTTTCCCAGTAAAGTAGGGACTTCAGAGATCCAGAATAAAATCAGCAAACCTCAGACATACATTTTAAAATGACTGTGCTTACTCTGTTTATAATGCCAAACATCAAACCAGTAACAGATAGGAATTTATAAATGTGACATAGTAGGATTGAAAAATATGCCAACAGAATTTCTTTACATGGATATCAAGATAATACGAATTAAAAGCTTAATGCCTGTTCTTGGCAAGAGGATGAACACAGCAGAAGCAGGAATTGTAAACTGGAAGAGAGGTAAAAATAAAACAGTTACCCAGATACAGCCCATAGAGACAAAAAAGAAAAAGGAAAATTCAGAAGAGAGGGTCGAAGATAGAAAACAAGTGTTTCTTAAAATTTGATTCTCAAACCAGTGCATTGGCATCTTACCTAAAATATAGATATAACTTCTTGTTTCTTGAAAAACACTTCTCAAATTGTGGTCCCAAGTTACCAACATCAGCGTTACTAGAAACTCACTAAAAATGCAAGTTTTCTGGATCTCACCTCAGAGCTATTGCATCAGAAACGTGGGGAATCCCATGGATATGTATTTCATGTCTATTAGAGCATCATAGGAAAATAAGTAGCTGTGGCTAACGATTCAATGTACTCTATAAAAATAATGAGAAGTTGAAAACAAAGACTGCAAATAGATATACTGGCTAAATATTCATACAAAAAGCTGGTGTAGTTGTATTAATATAGGACAAAAATATGTCATTAATCTAGAAACATAGTAATTCTAAATACATCAATAATATAGCCTCAAGTCTATAAGAATTAAGGTGTAGGGATTTTGCTATAAAGCAGAACATTATATTTCTACAAAGTTATGAAACATGACACAATTTATCATTCATCCAGTTATTCATTCATCGATCGTTCTATAAACACAATGTACCCAGCATGATCTTAGTTTAGATATATAAAGATGAACACATGATTTCTATGAGGAAGGAGCTCATTGCTACATGAATAATTTTTTTTGGCTTTTTGTAAAATATTAAAAAAAATATTTTAGAAGTCATGCCCTGCCTGGTGTGGCTCAGTGGATTGAGTGCCAGCCTACTAACCAAACGGTCACTGGTTCAATTCCCAGTCAGGACACGTGCCTGGGTTGCAGGCCAGGTCAGGTCCCCAGTAGAAGGCATGTGAGAGGCAACCACACAATGATGTTTATTTCTTCCTCCCTCCCTCCTCCCTCCCTAAAAATAAATAAATAAAATATTTTAAAAGTCAATTTACTGCCTTTTTCCACCTCCCAGAACCCTTGACAATTCTGAGAGAAAACACTGGCATGACCTTGACTTAATGCTGTCTTCAGAGACAAGGGCATGTTTCAGGGCGCACAGGTATGGATGAGTGAATTTTGTGAACATATTTGTAATGGTTACATTGAAATTTATGCCTGTTAATTCCATCATCTAATCACTCTCATAGGCACATTCTGTTGCCTCCTGTATTTCTTTACTTTTTTTTTTTCTCCCTGGTGTATGGGTTGTAGTTTTCTGTTTTCTTTGATTGTTTAATAATAATTTGTTGGCAACTGGTTCCCTCCTCCCTAGGCTTGTTGTTGTTGTTTGCTTACCTGCTCAGTGACTGACTAAATTATTTTAGTCACGTTCTCCTGCTCTTGCAATGTGAAGCCTCTGATAGTTGATTTTCTAGAATGATATTTCATCACTGGATGCATGTCCTTAGGACCATTTCTAGAGTCTCAGAAAGGTGGTGGTGGTTTAAAAAATAATCTCCACCAGTGTTGCTGGGAAAGAGACCCGTGGAGCTCCTCCCGCTGTCATGCTATTTTCATGTATTCTTACAGATTTAATTCCTATATTTAACATTTTATTGTATTTATATGTGAGAAATATAAAACCAGCTTGTTCCCGGGTGGCTACTCAGTGATCCTCTCTCTTATTGACACTTTCAACCAACCGATCTGAAATGTCTCTTTCCTCACATGCCAGGTTCTCCTGTGTATTTGAGTCTGTTTCTGGGTTTTACATTTCTTCTCTTTGTCGGTAAGTCTAGGGATATGCCTGTATTCCACCTTTTAAAGTTCAGAGACTTTATAATGTACTTTAATGTCTGATGTGACTGATTTCCATCACCATTTTTTATTTTTTAGATTTAATCATTTTACTCTTTAATTTTCCCTGATAAATTCAGAATGAGCTTCCCCGCTCTATAAAGATAAAATGTATATTAGTGTTTATTTTGAGTTAAATTTATAAATTAACTTGGTAGGATTGACATAGTATCAGCTTCCCACCTAAGAAAATTTGTGTGGTTTCCATTTGTTTAAGGTTCTTTTGAGTTTTAGCAGTGCTTAAAGTTCTCTTATATGTTATTTACATATTTCTTGTTAAGCCTGTTTCTAGATAGTTTGTTTTTCATAGCTACTGTAAAGTCTTTAAAATTTGTCCTCTTTTTAAAATTTTCTTCTTACTATATTCTTTTTATTTTTAGTATTTTTCCATATATTCTTACCTTGCTTGGTTATTGGCATCTTATGAAACTAGAAATTTCTAACTGATTTTTCATTTCTAACTGTATTGGCTTATACCTATAATAAAATGTTCAATAGCATGTAATAATGAGATTTTTTTATTTTCCCCTATTTTTAATGAAAGTGCTTTAGTGTTACATATACATGTATAATATAAAACATAGTATTTAAAATTATAATTATATATAAAGTACACCTGTCCAACATTTTCTGAGCACCTGACCTACCATAGACCTGGCTCTCAGATAGTGGCTGGAATATGAAGCAGAGTGAGACAGTTCCCAACCCTGAAGGAACCCAGGAATGGAAAGTCAGGGCAACGCAGGGAAGGGAACCACTTAATGACAATGCAGGGTGATGAGAGTCACACATAGGTCTATGCCGTATGCTGTTAGGGTCACGGGGAAGGACAGATGAATCAAAGGGATGCGCAGGTTCCTCAGTGCAAAGGGCAAGATCAGCTACTCAGTGATGTAAGAACAATGAATCAGCTCTCCGGAGACAAGTAGGTCTTCTCCTCTTAAGACAGTGTGCTAACTCACAATTCCAAGTGTTTAGGGAACTGGTTTGGTAAAGATTAAAATGGAAAAAATACATGTAGTTCCTGTCTCATATTTCTTCAGTGGTTATAAGAAAACTTGCCCTGCCCGGTGAAGCTTGTAATATGTAGAGATAGATACAAATATTTGCACAGGAAAGATACTCTCCACAGTTTATTAATTTTAAAATGTAAATCAGATATCACTTTATCGCTTAAAACCCTTCCGGGGTTGATCATTGTTCTCAGAGTAAAAGCCATACTCCATCCCACGCCCGGGAGCTCTGTGCAGCCCCACCTCCTGTCGCCCCCACTCCAGCTCACTGAGCCTGCGCCCCTGCAGCTCGGCTGTCCCCTCTGCCTGGAGTCCTCTTCCTCCAGAGCTTTCCACATCTGACCTGTATAAAGGGAGCGCCCCCCTGAGACTGACAGCAGCACCTGGGGAGGTAAGCAAAGCCAAGATGTCCGGAGAGGGGGTTCCTGCTGATGTCACAAAGCACCCAGGCTATGGACCGCATGGCAATAGAGAACTCTGCCTGCTTCCCTGACGGCTGTGCCTTGGTGTCCAGAACCTGCCCAGCATGCTGGGCGCGGGCCTTTTCCCCCACAAAACCACATCTGTGACTGTTGGGAGTTCCCACAATAAAGCCCAAGTACTACACTACCACACACTTCTCAAACTGCAGGACACCCAGCTCCAATTCTGTGCAGAGAGGATAAAAGCACAGTATCCAGTACATCTTTCTGTAACATCAAGTTTATTCCAAAATTTGAAAGAACCAAGTACTTTAATAAGCACCCCCACAAACAAGGGAGGAGAGAAGGGCCCCAGGAAAAACAGTCTAGTCTCTGAAGGTGAGTGTGGAGGGGGTGGGGCCACAGGGTGGCCCCTCTTCTTGTCCCCCAGGGCGCTCTAGGCTGTCCTCCAAGCTTAGCAGCTGTTTGGGGATAAGGTGCTTCTGAAGGCCACAGAGGTGCCAGACACGCTCCTGACATAAATCCCACTGGGACAAATCCAGTGGGATTTACGTCAGGTGGTCCTTGCTCCATTGTCCGCTGGATCCGGCCCCCATTGCCCAGTGTTTCTGACACCGCCCTCATGCACAGCTGTTAGTGGCCAGCCTCTGGTTTCTCTTCTCCACCACGTGGTGGCCTTCTCAGGATCTCAGCGTCTTCAAGTCGGACAGACCCACGCAGAGTGTGGCTTGATCTGCCCAACATTTTTTTTCTGTCCTATCTTAGCTGCCCCCAATTTGAAAAATAATCTTGAGTGGACTCTTGTCCTTTTGTTTTGTTCCACATGAGCAGATGGCCAACAACAAAATTTTAGGAAAAACCTTCTGGCTACCCACTGCCAGCCCTGTCTGTGGTCAGAGGAAGTGCCTTGGGTGTTGCTGGTGGGGCTGGTGGGGCTGGTGGGGCTGGTGTGGCTGGTGGAGCTGGTGCGGCTGGTGGGGCTGCTGCGGCTGCTGCGGCTGCTGCGGCTGCTGCGGCTGGTGGGGCTGGTGCGGCTGGTGGGGCTGGCGGGGCCTGCTGAGGCTGGTGCGGCTGGTGCGGCTGGCGGAGGCTGCTGCGGCTGTGGGGCTGGCGGGGCTGCTGAGGCTGGTGCGGCTGGTGCGGCTGGCGGGGCCTGCTGAGGCTGGTGGGGCTGCTGAGGCTGGTGGGGCTGGCAGGGCTGCTGCGGCTGGTGCGGCTGGTGGGGCTGGTGCGGCTGGTGGGGTTGGTGCGGCTGGTGGGGCTGGTGGGCCTGCTGCGGCTGGTGGGGCTGGTGGGGCTGGCGGGGCCTGCTGAGGCTGGTGGGGCTGGCGGGGCTGCTGCGGCTGGTGCGGCTGGTGGGGCTGGTGGGGCTGGTGCGGCTGGCGGGGCTGGTGCGGCTGGCGGGGCTGGTGCGGCTGGTGGGGCTGGTGGAACTGGTGCGGCTGGTTGGGCTGCTGCGGCTGGTGTTGCTGGTGCGGCTGGTGGGGCTGCTGCGGCTGGTGTTGCTGGTGCGGCTGGTGTTGCTGGTGCGGCTGGTGGGGCGGCTGCGGCTGGTGTTGCTGGTGGGGCTGGTGGGGCTGGTGTTGCTGGTGCGGCTGGTGGAACTGGTGCGGCTGGTTGGGCGGCTGCGGCTGGTGTTGCTGGTGGGGCTGGTGGGGCTGGTGTTGCTGGTGCGGCTGGTGGAACTGGTGCGGCTGGTTGGGCTGCTGCGGCTGGTGTTGCTGGTGCGGCTGGTGGGGCTGCTGCGGCTGGTGTTGCTGGTGCGGCTGGTGTTGCTGGTGCGGCTGGTGGGGCTGCTGCGGCTGGTGTTTCTGGTGCGGCTGGTGGGGCGGCTGCAGCTGGTGTTGCTGGTGGGGCTGGTGGGGCTGGTGTTGCTGGTGCGGCTGGTGGAACTGGTGCAGCTGGTGGAACTGGTGCGGCTGGTTGGGCTGCTGCGGCTGGTGTTGCTGGTGTTGCTGGTGGGGCTGGTCGGGCTCGTGTTGCTGGTGCGGCTGGTGTTGCTGGTGCGGCTGGTGTTGCTGGTGTGGCTGGTGGGGCTGCTGCGGCTGGTGTTGCTGGTGCGGCTGGTGGGGCTGGTCGGGCTGGTGTGGCTGTGGTCCTTATCTTGGTCCTATCTTAGGTGCCCCCAATTTGAAAAATAATCTTGAGTGGACTCTTGTCCTTTTGTTTTGTTCCACACGAGCAGATGGCCAACAACAGCAAAATTTTAAGAAAAACCTCCCAGCTACCCACTGCCAGCCCTGCCTGTGATCAGAGGAAGTGCCTTGGGTGTTGCTAGTGGGGCTGGTGCGGCTGGTGTGGCTGGTGCGGCTGGTGCGGCTGGTGCGGCTGGTGTGGCTGGTGTGGCTGGTAGGGCTGGTGCGGCTGGTGGGGCTGCTGCTCCTGGTATTGCTGGTGCGGCTGGTAGGGCTGGTGTGGCTGGTAGGGCTGGTGCGGCTGGTGGGGCTGCTGCTCCTGGTATTGCTGGTGCGGCTGGTAGGGCTGGTGCGGCTCGTGCGGCTGGTGCGGCTGGTGCGGCTGGTGGGGCTGCTGCTCCTGGTATTGCTGGTGCGGCTGGTAGGGCTGGTGCGGCTCGTGCGGCTGGTGCGGCTGGTGCGGCTGGTGGGGCTGCTGCTCCTGGTATTGCTGGTGCAGCTGGTGGGGCTGGTGCGGCTGGTGCGGCTGGTACAGCTGGTGGGGCTGCCACTCCTGCTGCCACTGCCGCCGGCGCTGCTGCTGTTGCTGCTGCAGGAGCCCCCAGAACCATTCTGGAAGGCTGGGCTGAGGGTGGTGGTCCCGGACTCAGGGCAGGATAGGGGAGAGGTGGCCCTTGCTTCTGTGGAAGCATGGTGGACGGCCACCCTGGCTGCCTTGCTGGCGGTGGGGATGGCCACGCTCGCTGCCTTTCTGGTGGTGGGGACAGCCACCCTGGCTGCCATACTGGCGGTGGGGACGGCCACGCTCGCTGCCTTGCTGGCGGTGGGGACGGCCACCCTGGCTGCCGTGCTAGCGGTGGGGACGGCCACTCTCGCCACCACACTGGTGGAGGGGACGGCCTCGCTGGCGGTGGGGACGGCCACTCTCGCCGCCACACTGGTGGAGGGGACGGCCACGCTGGCGGTGGGGACGGCCACTCTCGCCGCCACACTGGTGGAGGGGACGGCCACTCTTGCCGCCACACTGGTGGAGGGCACGGCCACGTTGGCGGTGGGGACAGCCACTCTCACCGCCACACTGGTGGAGGGGACGGCCACTCTCGCCGCCACACTGGTGGAGGGGACGGCCTCGCTGGTGGTGGGGACGGCCACTCTTGCCGTCACACTGGGGGGGGGTACGGCCACTCTCGCTGTCACACTGGGGGGGGGTACGGCCACTCTCGCTGTCACACTGGGGGGGGGGTACGGCCACTCTCGCTGTCACACTGCGGGGGGGTACGGCCACTCTCGCTGTCACACTGGCGGGGGGTACGGCCACTCTCGCTGTCACACTGGCGGGGGGTACGGCCACTCTCGCTGTCACACTGGGGGGGGGTACGGCCACTCTCGCTGTCACACTGGGGGGGGGTACGGCCACTCTCGCTGTCACACTGGGGGGGGGTACGGCCACTCTCGCTGTCACACTGGCGGGGGGTACGGCCACTTTCGCTGTCACACTGGTGGGGGGACTGGTAGACTTGCCAGTTTTCTGTCCTGCCTCCAGAAGCTCTTGGTTTGTGGAAAGATGTCTTTCATTACGGAAGGAATAGGGCCTTACTCTCACTGTTTGGCCTTTTATCTTGCCTTTTGTAGTATGGAGGATTAAATACGTGCCCATAGTGCTGTTAAATTTTTTTTGTATTACCGCCTCCTTTACTTCCTCCAGGTTAAACCCAAGGCTTCTCATTTTTTCCATTACCTGGGAGTCAAGGTCCTCCCAGGGCGGCTCGCTGTGCAGCTTCACTTCCTTCTGGCCAGCAGTGACCCAGGGATCCTTTATTATAGCGTCCAGAGTTGGTCGTTTCGTGAGGTCAGGGGTAATTATTTGTTTTAAAAGTTGTTGACATTTTTCAGACAGGAAGTGTGGTACAATGAAGTGCCCTGTCAATATCTGCCGCTTGACTTCCCCAAAGTTGTCCCCCACGAACGGCAGCCTCCCCGTGAGCATCCGATAAAGGATGACCCCCATGCTCCAGATATCAACCATTGGCCCGTTGTAGGGTTCGCTCCTCAAGATCTCCGGTGCCATATACGAAACAGTACCACAGAAGGTATTAAATTTTTGTTCTAAAAGTTTTGTACTAAAGCCAAAATCAACTAATTTGATGTTATTCTCACTGTCGAGGAGGATGTTCTCAGGCTTTAGGTCGCGGTGTACGAACCCTTTCTGATGACAATAATATACCGCAGATATCAACTGCCTAAATATAGTTCGGGCATCCTCTTCTGTCTGGGGGCCAGAGTTCTCAAGATAATCAAGTAAGTGCCCTCGGCTGATGTGCTCCATGAACAGGAAGTACTTATCTTTGGTAGCAATAACTTCAAATAGCTTAACGATGTTAGGATGATTTAAATTTTTCAGACAATGAAATTCTCGTAAACTTAGAGAGCTCTGCTTGTTGACAATTTTCACAGCTACCTCTGTGCCGGTTACTCTGTGCCTGGCCAGCATCACCTTCGCGTAGGCCCCCTCTCCGATTGTGTTCAGTAGAGTGTAGCCACCAACATGGCACTCCTTGCCAGAGATGGCTGTAATGTCATTAGACATGGTTTTACTGTACAGTAAAAAAAAAAAGAAGAATAAGTAAAAAGATTACAGATTTTAAGAAAACAAAATAAAAAATACAAATAAGAAAGAAAAAAATTTAAGAAAGAAACAAAATGAAGAAAAATGAGCTCACAACTCTCCCAAGTCCAACAGATCACTGTAGATCAGCTCACAACTCTCCCAAGTCCAACAGGTCACTGTAGATCAGCTTCCCAGACTATAATGGACAGAAGCTTTAGCCCAGTGGGGATCTTATAAAGGGTCAGTGTGTTGCCCATCACAATGGGGCCTTATGAGGTTAGAGCAAGAAACGGACCAGTCGCAGCTGGTGATACACTACAGTGGTTTTCTCATGTTTTGGTCTCATGACAGTTTTACTCTGGAAAAAAACATAATAAAAGGATCCCCCCAAAGCTTTTTCCTTAATGTGGGATATTAAAGATTGATATTTACTTTATTAGAAATGAAAATCTGTAAGATACAAATAAAATTTTCTCATTATCTATGTGTTTGAGAATCCTACATCAAACCTTAATAATTCTAAAACAACAACTAAACACACATACATATCCATACCTTTTTATTAAATAGTTCAAAACATTGATTTATTGGTAAGGGCACAGGATGTGTTATGCAAAGAGAGGCTTACAGCTTACTTTGGTGCCAAGGGAATAAATAGGAATTTGAAGATTGTGGGTCAGACAGAAGGATAGAGGGTCATGATCTAATAAATCTATGAATTTCTAGCCCAAAGAAAAACTCTGAGTGGGAGTTTGTGTGATTAACTTGTAAGTACTGAGATACCTAGTACAGTTGTAAAATTCCTCTCATTCCCCGCAGTCATGGTGTCTGTACTCGGCTCCACGATGCCTTACTTTTCCTAATCTGCTGACACAACAGCCTTGCATTACTTATGTGAAAAACTAAGAGCACAGAAGTGCAGAGACATGCGACCTCCTCCACGGGCCCACTTTGATGGGAGTATCACCTTGGAGAATTCAGGGCAGGACCAGGCTTGAAGTGGAGCCCAAAATAGAGAGTCACACAAAAGAGTGAGGAGTAGGCGAGTTAGGAGTTTAGAAATGAGTGTGAAACAGAGCACTTTATCCTGAAATGCTAAAGGAAGGTGACACATGAAAGGTGAAGAGGCAAAGTTATAGCAGTAGATAATCAAGTTTTCTCTTGCATAGCATTTAAGATTGGAATGTCACACTCATATGCATAATTTCATTTAAACTTTATAGGAATTTGGTGTGTTAGGTAGAGCAAGCCATACTAATATTATATTTTCTAGATGAATAACATTATGTTGGGTGAGGCATGTTCCTTGTCCAAGGTCACACAACTAGTAAGTGGTAGAACTGCGTTCATGTCTAGATCTTCTGAATATCTTCAGCTTTATTTTTCATAATAATTCAGTCATATATAAGCTGTGTGTTCCTAAGATAATGATTCTGCAGTCATCTTTGCCTCTAACAAAGTGGGATGCTTTTGACCGTTTTCAGCTGTCATTAATAGATGTCACTTGGGAGGACCTTCCTAATCGTGGCTGGAAGTGCCAGCTGAACATCTAAACTAAGAAGTGTAATTGACCCACAAGAAGAGGTTGATCTTGATTTACTAAAACTCTGTTTACCCTCAGGATGCCATTTCTGTGCACATTTAATAACCTTCAAAGTATTTTCAACAGCGATCAAAATACGTTTTTATGCTTTCTTGCTGTGAAAAATGATGACACTGCTCTAAGTAATGCAGTAAAAATCTCTGATCATTGCCAGTTTGACAGGTATGGATCAAAGAGAAAGTAAGTTGCTCAATTATTCAGTAAGGTGAACTTTAAAATGTGCTTCTAGTCATCAATGAAATAATGCTACGCATGGGTGACATCTTAGATTTCCACTTGGCCAGCTGCAAAGATTAATGGCCAATGTTGCAGGCATGAAAGAAAAATCATACTGATTCTAGATAAATGCACAGCACACCATGTAATTTCCCTAAGTAGCACTTAAGTGTTTTTTTTTTTTCTCTTGAGTAAAGCTGTATTTTTAATTCTACCAAGAAGTGAGAGTATATTCTAGACTCTTAAAGAGCTTTGTCAAAGATACAATGTGCTGTGTTACATTATATTTTGTCTCAGTAAGGCCCACCCCACTTTTAAACTTACTATAGTGCATTTCAGAATGTTTGACTATCTACAATAGAATGTGCCTGACAAATGTACTCTGACATATTTATCGTTCAGAAACAACCCCAGAGTGCAAGTGAGTACTTCAAAGCTTTATACGTTAAGATGACTAAGTGACATCTTCTGAAATGTACCATTCTGTTTAGTCATATACTCATGAATTTTATAAGGTTTTAAGCTGAATAGACAAAGTGTCTTTACATACTCTGACCCTCAATTGCTAGCTTTACGAGACTTGCTGCAATTAACGTATTTTCCTTCTAATTTTACTTATTGGACTACATTGGGCTTCAGGCAGTGATATAACCAGTTCAAGTGATGCAAACAATTTCTGCCTGAGACAATACCTGAACCATTTGTAAGATTTACAAAAAATAGAATTTACAGGAATATACTTTTTAAAAACTTTTAGTATATAGCCAAAATAAACTATTCCATGGTAATGAACTTCACACTGAAGAAGGCCAGATGGTTGAAAAAATAGTTTTATTTTATGCTAAGAAACAAAGAGATTTTGTTAGCTTTCCTTATTTATTTTTGAATTAAATTTTCTTAATAAAGGAACTTTCACCCCAATTAAATACATTAAGAGTTGATTTACTTAAAAATAAATTCCAGTGTTGCTAATTACTTTGAAATATTTTTAAGTGAAATCACTGCTGTAAAACATAGAATTGCTCCTTTTCAGAAAGCATCCCTTTATTTTAGTGAGAAATTTAAAATCTATTAAGTTTACATGCAAATTAACAGGCAGGATCTTTTAAAGGCAGCAACTTTTAAAAAGTTTCTCGTGATGCAGATGGAGCTCAGACCTGTGTTTTGATGTCTGGGTTCGCTGAGTAGATGGCCTGGTGGAAGCCCATAGCAACCTGGTCTGTGCGCGCCAAGTTTCAGACAGGAGTCCATGTCTGAAACAGCTCGTATTTCTTTTTCCTATTGCTGCGCCTTAAGAAGGATTTCTAGCAGGAGTCATTGATACTTCCATCACTTTGGACACAAAAATTAAACTGAATGTCCCCTCTTGAATTATTTTCAGGACAAAATCTACTGCCTGTTTTTGTCGAACAATTTGTGTATGTTTGTTTCTTTGTTTCCTTTCTCTCTTTTATTGTCTTTGATTTCATTTGCTAGTGCTTTGACTTCAAAATTATTTCTTCTCAGGGCTAGAGTGGAGGAATGGGGAACATCTGTAATAGCAGCAACAATAAATAAATAAATAATAGAATTATTTCTTCTCTTAGCGTCTAAGATTTAAGTGAATTGGGGTTCAAAAAACTATAAAAGGAAGAAGCACAACATTCCCTTTCCGAAGAACTGAGAGATGGATTTTACTTACAAGAATGTTTCATAGTAAAGTGAAGTTACATCAAATTTAGAAAGGTCCATTTATATAAATAAATATTTTTTTTTACCTTATTTATTTATTTATTTATTTATTTTTTAATTAATTTATTTTTCAAATGTATTTAAATAAATATTTTTGACAAAGCATAAACTATCTCCGATGGTATAGTCAGAAGAATAATTTTTATTTTTTATGGAACTAGGAATGTGTTCCTTTCCTAAATGCAACTTTTGTTTGAACTCTCCAAGTCAGAGAATAATGCTGCATTATTATAATTATTGTGGTCATTTCATTTAAAGGAATGTGTTATAACCTGCCTGCCCCAGCCCCACCCAACAGCAGGTGGCAGGAAGCTCCTTACCAGAGGGAGCGCTTCAGAGCTGGCCTGAAACAGACCTGCCAGCAGACTCTTAGGAGCCCGCTCACATGACCAGCGGACCAAAAGTCAGTCTTGCCGCCACAAGTACATGCCATTCACGGCCCTCTTGTCCCTCTGTGCTCTCTGACTTCGATGAACGGCTCCCCACCGCTGCCCAGTTAGAACTTCTGCACGGCTACCTGTGGGCTTCCAGTCCCGTGGAATTGGCTTCTGCTTGGCTGGGACCTTGATCATTCTCTTCGTTCTGCCTGCTTCCCGTTCCCAGAGCAAGTCTTTGGTGACCCCATCGCAGCCATTTCAAACTTGGTAAATGGCACAGGTATCTAGCCCCTCACTTTCCTGATGATATTTTAAGCATCATGACCAATTACAGACTTTCACTGATACATTCTAAATGAAGATAGGACTTTCTGAATATGGCTAATAACATGGATTTTTATTTTGGTCTTTTCTTTCAGATCTATGATATGCATGGAAGCACAAAACACCTCATAGAAAACGCTCCCTCTGCCTCTCTGGTACCATCTCCTTCAAAGGGCAAGGGAGTACCTTGATGCCATGCTGGATTCCTGACCGTAGACTGTAACTGAAGGTGGGTCAACCGTAGGGTGTGCTATGGTGCATTGGATGCCAGTATTCAATACTGAAGTAGGGAAGCAGAGGAGAAGAACCAATACACTATCTAAGGGAGACCTATTGTCATACTTTTCCATTATCTCATTACCTTTGACCTTATTCCAAATAGGAACACACAGTCACAAATAAAGTTGAGAAAATATGTCTGCTTTACTAACATGTGGATCAGGAGTAAGTGTGGCCTGTGTGTAACAAACGCCATTGACAGAACAATGACTACCCAGACAGTAGCTAACACTCGCATAGTGCTAACTCTCAGGCACTGTTCTAGCTGCTTTACATACAGGGACTCAGTTCGTCTTCCCCGAATTTGTTAATTAGGCACAGCCATATTTGAAAGGCGAGGAAGCAGAGGCACACTATGGAGCATCTTTCTGTGTTTGCACAACTAGTAAGCAGGAGAGGAGGGTTTTGGACACAGGCCGTGCACAAGGAGGATCTGTGCTTAGCAGTAT